TATTTAAATATATGTATATATATATATATATATACATATATATACAGATATATGAATAGGTTACATCACTGGCTGACATGTGCTATCATAAGGAGAGACAGTAAACTCCAACATGACAGGGTTTACTGAGCAAGTCGTGTTTTGTAACTTTATATTGAAGATATGTTCTGCTGCTGCTTCAGACCCGTGTTGTAACATAACTTATTTTACAGTCGCTGGGACAGAGGAAGAGGAGTGTTACCCAAACAGGCACCGTCACAGCTGTGTATGATTGGCTGAGAGCCCCATCAGTCAACCGTTAATATCTTCTAAATGCAATGATATTTCCAGAAACATCCAGACACAAAGTTTAAATTACTTACTGAGGGCCAAATATGAAGGGGCGAAGTGTGTTAGAAGGTGAAGTCTAGCAGCAGCATCTAGTGGCCATTAGAGGAGCTGCAGCAGCTGACGACAACAACCTCTGACAGTGACTGATGGCTGCTGCTTTCTTTATACTTTAGCTTCTGTAAATTTAGTCATGCAGCACAAAGTTTGAATTCCAAACATCTAATGATAGGAAGACAACACAGCCGATGGATAACAGTATTTGAGCTGTGACATTAAATGACACCAGTGTCCTCACAACAACCCCTCTGAGCACTCTAACATGATATCTTGGTTGGACCAGAAGCTTCTCCCAGCAGGTGCTGTCAGAGTCTCCCAGTATGTGACTGGTGTCAGTTTCACCTTCAGAAGAAGATGCTCACCTCCATCAGACTGTCTCCAGTGCTGCTGCAGTGGGATGATCAGTGTTTCCTGAAATGTAAATACAGTTGAAATGTGTCAAAATATTTATCGCTCAAACCGGCAAACAAAACTGACTCCAGTTCACAGATAAAGTGCAATTTTTTAAACTTGGAGATATGTGGCATTTTTATGGTTCTAGCATGTTTTACTAACACAAAACCAGAAAACATACACACCTTCAACACAGCAAGAGTCTCACAACAACACACCAACACATTTCTGTTAGAGGCTGTTTCTACCTGATGTGGAAACAAACATAAAGTGTTCAAAATATTATATATATCGAGTATTTCTCACATTTGACTGTAATTTAAAAATAACTGTCAAGTTTTCAAACCAATGCTTGTTGCTTGTTAAATTTTGGAGTGCTACAGGATGTGACGAGATGAGCAGCTGATTTCACTGATTAACAACCTTCACTCAGAGAAGACGAGCTAATCAGTAACATCAGCTGGCGTGACTGGAACACACACCCGTAGGCCGGACTGCTTTTGCCACCTTAAATGAAACACAGCTAAAGAATGTTACACAATTTAAAAAAAAAAAAAGTCAAATAGAAAAAGGAAACGTATGCCTTCATTGAAGCAACAAAGGTCCCAGAGGACCAGCCTCACACTGAGGACATCAGTGATCATGACGCCAGAGCCCTTGGTCACCAGGGAACCCTAACTTTGACTTTGTTTGTTATTGACCTTTCAAATTTGTAACCAAATACAGAACAGCAGCAGTACTTGATGCAGCCTGGGCAAAATTCCTGCTACCCGATGCACAGATTTGTCTAAGTAATTAATATATATATGGAGATGGAAACAGGTTGTAAAACAGTAAGTAGAGGTATAAAGCTAAGGTGACGGTGCTAGTGAACAGCTATGTAATGAAGACACTGGGCCTTATTCACCAATAGCTTTTTTCTTAAGAAAAGTCTATGTCAGATTCACGAAGTGTTCTTAAAGGGCAGAATTGTTCCCACCTGTGTTCTTATCATGATGAATGCCAATGAGTGCGTTTACATGGACAGTTTAATTCCACTTTCATTTGGAATGAAAGACCATTCCGATTAAAAGTGGTCATGTAAACGGTCATTCCGATTGAAAATCGGATCCGATTAAAAGGGGGGGTTTATTCCGTTTTTCATTCCAAATGAGAGAATGTTGTGTGCATATAAACCCTCATTCCTCTTTAAGTTCATTCCAGTCTTTCTGCACATGCTCGTTTCCTTGCCCTTCTGGCACAATGACGTATATAGCGAACATAGCAACGGGCTGAGATAGAGCAGTCGGACTCGTTGCACTCACCGGTTTCCATTCTCCACAGCACGGTCTTCTATCTCCCTTCTTCGACCTTCTACCTCCCTTCTCCTCCTCAACAGACGAAGCATTAGCAGAACAAGGTTGTTGTCGTACTGCTGCTTCAAGAATATAAGCAAAACAAGCCTGAAAAAGGCACTAAGAACGGCGGCGTCAAGCATCTTGTTACCCGGAGCGAGGACTACAGTGTTTTCTTCTGGTAAACATAAATACGTAACATCCGCCCCGCCCCCTATCCAATCAGAAACCTTCCCTGCCCCAAACCTTGCTCAGACCTGAATAAAGGCGATTAAACTGATCTCAGTGTAAACCCTCATTCAGAATGAATATTTCCCATGTAAACTACCTGGAAAGACTTTAATTCACAATGATTTCATTCAGATTTATTTCATTCTGAATGAGAAGCCATCATGTAACCGTAGCCACTGTCTAGTGTTGTAAGTTGATGGCACGTGACAGCACGTTGATCCTAATTAGCATAGGTAAACGCCCCTTAAATCCCCATAAAAGGGCATGAGACTGCAGGGCCGTGTGCACACAGGGAGAGAATACAGTCAAGAATGCCTAAAATGTTGTGTTCACACCAAACACAATGCAAATTTTCATGTCACGTTACTCACGTGAGTTTGAATGCTCGAACATTTTGTGTTGACTCACTGCGTGAAATAGCTGAATGAACTTTATCAATTATAATAGTAGACCATTATTGTAATCCCATAATATCACACAGCTGTCGAACTGAATAAAATGCAATAACTATTTATTTTTCACGAACATGTCAAAACAAAATGTGTGTCAGAGTGATCTGGAGTGTGTAGATTCTGTTCTCATGTAAGAACAATCCCAAATAGGAAAACATTGGTGAATGTCAGAATCGTCCTAAAAACTGTGTAAGTGTGTTTTAGGAAGACATTTCTTCTTAACAACATTTGGTAAATGGCCCACTGTCACTCGTTTCTTATAAGCTGGCAGAATCTGTAAAGAGACACTGTTTTGTGGTTGATTCATGTTTTATTTCACATTTCTTTTAATCTTTTTTTTTTGTGGAAAATGACCCTCAAGCTGTCGGCTGTGTCCTACCTGTGGGTACTGAAGACAGTTTTCATCCATGTTTGGAGCTTTACGCAGGACAGAGACAGTTCAGCTCCTTTCTGAAAGGACAAAACGTATCAGTAAGCCATGAGAGATGTTTTTGTGAGGTACTTCCACAGTATTGCTGTGTGCCAAACCAATCACCAGAAAAAATGTTGGCATTGTACGATTCTGCAAACCACAGATATGTTAGTATTTGAACATTATTATGAAGCGTATACACCGAAAACATTAAAACCACCGACAGGTGAGGTGAACAACACTGATCATCCCGATACAGTGCAATGTTCTGTTGGGGAACCTTTGGTCCTGGAATTCGTGTGGATGCTACTTGATGCGCTCCACCCACCCGAACACTGCTGCAGACCAAGTAAACCCCCTCATGGCAACAGCACTTGTCTATGACAGTGGCTCCCCAGCAGGACAATGCACCATGCCACACCACAAAAACTGCTCAGGAATGGTCCGAGGAACAAGACAAAGAGCTCAAGGCATCGACCTGGCTTCCAAATATCTTGGAGCCCGATTTGATCAAACATTTGTTGGACATGCTGGTACCCCACCTCACAACCCACAGGACTCAAAAGATGTCCTGATGCCACGCACCAAAGGACACCCTCCAGAGGTCCTGTGTCCATGCCGTGACAGGTCAGAGCCAAGTCCGGTCCAAGGAGGACCCACCATGGGTCAGGGGTACCTCTGGGGTACCAGCACGTCCCTCAAATGTTCTCTCAGTTTGGGATCTGGGGTATTTGGGGGCCAGTTTTGTTGTTTGTTGGTCTCAAGCAGTGGTCTGAAGCCTAGGAGGTGCCATCCACCATCCCCTCCACCTTTCGATGACAAAGTCAGCTCATACACTACGCCGCTTTAGAAACATTGATATGATACATATAAAACATGGAAATGTATTGTATTTGTGGTTTGCAGAAAAGTACAATACCAACATTGCCTCCTGGCGACTGGGCTGTGTCTGCAGTACTTTTCTGACAGGTTAACAACACAGTGGCCATTGTGAAACTGTTACAGCTCTCCTCTCTCCAGATGGCTCTCCTGCTCTGTTCACTCATTTCTAATTCTGGCTGGTGTGAGTGGAAGAGAAGAGGCAGCTGTTATCTGAGGATATGATCCAGCCGTCAGCAGAGGTCAAATATAACCTGCATTAACTCTGAGGAATGACATGCTGAACACAAGACATTGTTTAGGCTGTCGAGTGTTTGCTGTTCAGAGAGGTGAGGTGCAGAACGAGAGCAGTAAAACAAACCGTAAAGATTATTTACCGCCCAGAGCTCCTATAAAACAGAGACAGTTTTTTGGCATGAAGACCCTGTCATTCTTACCTGTCAGTGCAGATCAGAGGCTGACGTGATCCGAATTATCAAGGGACTTAAGTGGTGTAACATTGTATGGTTGAGATCAGGACAAGGAAGGAAACTCAAGCCTCTGGACTGAATGTCTGGCAGGTTTACCTCATCTTGATGTGTAACTGTTTGCTCAGCAGAAATACAGAGAAAGGTCACTTATTTTCACAGGCTGGAACTGGATAGGGAGCAAACAGGTAAGGGGAAAGCCTCACACTTTTATTTTCCTTCCTGCTGACTTGTAATTTTATTCTGCGACAACTCAACAAACCGCTGCATTTGTCTTCATGGAACAGGAAGAAACGGCACCTCCTGGACCCAAAGGACGGAGCAGCTGAAACTGAAACCAAGACCTCCTCTGCGTCCTCATAAACAACTTTTCAGCATTGTTATAGTTGTTTTTTATTTTACTGGACAGATTTACGGTGCAACAAGTTAACCTGTTTATATTTTTGACATTGTGACATTTTTGATATTAACATTTTGTACACTGACTGTAGGAATGCTCATGACAATTGGCATTGCATGAAATTTACAGATGATACCATTATTGTGAGTCTTTTAAGTAATGACGAGATCAAGCATGGTCCTGTTGTCGATGATTTTGGCGCTTGGTGCAAGGATTTTGACCTACTGATTAATGTGTCTAAGACTAATAACATTATCATCAATTTTCATCAGTAAACACTTGACAGCCTCAACAGTGTCTTGTGTTTGTATCTCATTCCTCAGAGTTAAAACCAGGCTAAATCTATGAAGGATAAAAATGACTAAAATGTGACTACTACTACTACTAATTAGCATTTTCGTCTCAAGACTAGGACTGAATCTAAATACCTATCAAAATGAACACTGATTTTCATAGGTTACAGCCCAGTGTTACTCATACATCAAGGATATGGATGTTGAGATTGTTTCTCATTAGCCTGCGAATACTTAGGAACCATTACTGATAATAAACCCAACAGTGAACCCAAAAATGTGAAAGGGTCCAGCAGAGATTGTTCTTTTTAAGAAAGATGAACTTGTTTAAGGTGTGCAACATTTAAATGACTTTGTTTTATCAGTGTTTCATATAATATGTCCTCACATATTTAATTGTGGTTTAGTTTGGTTTGGTTTGGTTGTCTCACAATGGCCAGTAAAAACAGGTTAGCAAAGCTGAGGCCTGAACTACGAAGCCAGTTCAACCTACTCAGGATATCTTTGCATTATCTGGCCTGACTAACCCTAACATTGGCTGTCTGGATAACTACGAAGCTGGTTATCAACTAATTCAATCAACTCTGGGTTTCCCTATCTTCATAACATATGAGATGAAACAGTACTGAGTATCTGGCACTTCGAGAGAGTAAATGTCAGTGGCGTGGGATGTAAACGATAATGGGTAATCCTACAACAGAACATGTAGAAACATTGCAAATGCTAACCAAAAATTCACCTTTGGCCGAGACTTAAATTACGTGTAGTTATCACTAGGGTATATTGGACATTAGTATAGAGGATTTTTTTCTATTTATTTGGATTATGATAAAACTATACTGAATATGTCACATAGAACACTTTAAAGTGATGTCAGCTTCGTAGTACTGAAAACCCAGAGTTAACCCCGAAGTTGGCTCGCTAACTCCAAATCCTGCTTCATAGTACAGGCCTCTGGGCAAAGTGGCAAGTAAAGTGATTCGGGTGCAGCAAGCCCAGCTGCACAATATCTACAGTAAGCGTGTTACCAGTTGGACTCAACAAATCCGTTGCTGTCCTGACCACCCGCTTCTTGTGGTGTTTGATCTCCTTTCCTCTGGCCTTCGTTTCACAATGCCAGACAAGCAAGGCATGCCAGAGCTTCTTTTATCCCTGGTGACACTGACAAGCTTAATTTGCTGGCCAAACTTTCTTTGTTTACTGCAGATCTGGATTAGATAGTTAGATTGTGTACCTTGATTATTTATTACTTATGCATTTATTTATCTTACCGTGATTATTTATCACTATGTACTTTACCTGTTGCCACTGCACAGCACTTTATTACTTTAATTGATGATGCTATTACTGTGCTGTTTTCAAACCGCCTCAGTTCCTGGTTCAGTGCCGTAGTAGAATCGAGCTGAACAATTTTTATAATTTATTACTGATGTTGTTCTTTATGTATTTTTGAGTCTTGACGCCTGCTAAAGAACAAATTTCCTTCGGGATAATAATAAAGTTGAAGAAGAGTTGTGTCTCTTATATTTATATTTTTACTCCGTATATGCACTCTTTCCTGCTTTGCACTGCAGCTGCTACACAACAGTTTTGCTCAGGATGAAAAAAGTTCAGACTTATCTGCTTTAACAGGAAAGTGAATGAACATACCTCTGCGGCAAACCACACCAGGCCACGTTTAAGATTACCTGCAAGAAAAAAAAAAAAAATTGTGGAAAAAATAAAATGACTTTAACATAATGGCACTAGATTCAATAACTCACCTCATCCGCTCCAACGGGAACAAGACAGAGACTTTTCCATTCATAAGTTTGAACAACAGCAGATATTATTATTATTACCATTATAATTATTATTATTATTATTATCATTATTATTATAAAGGCTCAACTAATTCAAGAATATTCACTCAGTATCACAAATGGACCACATACAATTCTTGAGGGATCTAAAACATAGACTTATATTTGACTAAAATAGACTAAATTTGTATTCCTGGGAAGGTTAAAGTGTTCTTTACATTACTAAAGTTATTAAGTTTGTATGAAGATTGCCACCAAAATAATTTCTTTACAAATATGTCTGTTGTTCATGCTAATGTGAAAAAGTTATAGCAGTTAGCCAATGGTTAAGGTTTAACCATAAACAAGTGTTTGTTGAGGTTTGCAAACCTTTGAAAAATCTAAATAATGTCAAAGATCCAACATTATTAGTATTGTTTTATATTCTGTGACTTGAGAATTCATACATTTTGGTACCAAAATAACTTCTGTCTTTTTAGATATCAGTCTGTTGTTCATGCTAACAATTACAAGTTAGCTTACGGGTAGCTAACGGGTACAGTTTAACTGTAACTGAGTGTTAGCTGAAGTATGTGAACATTTCAAAAATCTTATTAAAGTCGGGACATAAACTTTCAAAAATCCCACATTATTGTTTTATATTTGGTAACTAGAGAATTTGTATGTTTTTGTATCACAATAATGATTTCTTTATAGCTGTCAGTCTGTTGTTCATGCTAACGATTACAGGTTAGCTAATGGTTAGCTGAATTATGTAAACCTTTAAAAAATCTTAAAGTTTGGACATAAACTTTAAAAAAAAATCCCAAATTATTAGTATTGTTTTGAGACTTGACAATTTATGCATTTTATAAAGGCTTAAAATCTTCATCATCATAACATGTCTCATTAGCTAGGGATTAGCATAAAGTTAACGTTAGCATAAAAACTGTGGTAACTGGTTAGCTCATAAAGCAGTTCAGTTGTGCAGAATAAAGGAAAAGGGCATTTTAATATTTTAAAGCATTTAGGCTTCAAAAATCATTGAAGTGGTGTTCATTTGTGAAGGTTATCTTGCTGAGCAAAATGTGTACGTATCATAAACCTTTGTTTGCCACAGAGCTTATTTTCTGCCAAAATCCAATGGAAAAAATCCCATTGGCTTTTTAACGAGGGAAACAAGAACACTATCTTTCGTGTCAGCCTACAAAAAGACATCATCCCTGGAGCACTCTGTAGCTACAGTATGGTTCTTCATTGTTAGCATAATGCTAATTTCACCCAGTCTACACAGAATCCTACAGAATAGTAACCTTTAAACTGAACGACATTTAACAGTTAATTCAATATTTAAATTTCCAGCATTTGAGTATAAACATGCACCACAGAGCTAACCAAGTGTTTACAAATTCAACAGGACTATAAACAAGATGGACATGAAGCTTTTGTATTTAATGTGACATCAAGATGAGAAAATTACATCACATTTGTGTTTAAACAGTTTAGAAAACATGACATGATGTTGTTTAGACATCATTGTACAGACTGAAGGCTGAATTATACTTCTGCAACAGAGGAGTCAGTGTTGCTAACAGTGTGACTGTTTTTTGCTTTACATCATTATTGTTAGCTCACCATGCTAACGTAACCCATTGGCTAACATTGGCCTTTCTCCACTGAGCATTGTGTACCTAACATGCCACAAGAATGGATGCAGATAATCGGCACAGTCAGAGTGAGAATGAGACAAATTTATTCCTAAATTAAGGCAGAAGCATAAGTCAGCCTTCGCAGAACAAAAGCAGGTTTGATTCATCACGTACTAATACTGGCATCAGTACATAACGTACAGTACAAATACATCACAGTACAGTGTCAATGCAGCCAAAAGCAGAAGGAAGCTTTGATTCGACTGGAGAGTTTTGTTCCAAAGTATGATATCCAAAAACTACCCGAACCCTGCCTCATCTACCTCTGGTTTACATTTGGAAAGTAAAAGCAGCGTAACTCAACTCTCAACTCTTGGAGGGGAAAAATAATTCATTTGAGTAAAAAACTGACTTTTAAAGGCCAAATTAAAACGTATAAGTTTGAATATAATTTTAATTTTATATGTTAAGATATAATCACTTTCAAAATCCTGTAAACCAACTGAGGAGATTATCGTTCATCACTTACTGTGCCATACTATAACCTCTAAAATACTATCATCTCTCTTAAGAAGTGTACCTTTAGTTCATAAAGGATCAAAGGTACTTAGACTGGTTATCAGTGTAACCTCCACAGCAGTCATGTCTAATCTGTCCAATAAAAGTAAAAGGTAGATTTACAGAGCATCTTTGGAATAAAACTCTTCAATTACAAAAAGACATTAAACCTGAATTCTGTCCTGAAAAGCGCTCGTTTAAGCTCAACACTGACATCACTGACAGATCACATTTAACTATCAAACATCTTCTTCCTATCAGACTTGTCTTCAATGTTCTTACGCCAGTCTCCCACATCGCGCAGCTGCTTGTCCTGTGAACACAGACAATATTTCATTTAGATAATGACCAATAAAATACATGAAGAGACGGAAAGAAGCAGCAAGTGTGGAGTCATTTTTACCAAGAATACTATTAATGAAATGGCGACAAGCTTTATTATTTGACATGTAAATTTAAAAAAATGACACTGACTTCCTCAGAAAATACAAATTGAATTCCTCGGTTTTTAGTTTAAATATCAGTCAAACTTTGCCCCAAATGGGCCACTGTACACAATGTCTCAGCCACTAAAACAGAGCCAGAACTACAACTCTAAATAAACCTGGCTCCTGGATGGCTGCTGCTAAATATATATTCATTGTCGGTTTGAATACAATCCAGTGACTCATTCTAATTCCCAGGTTGTCATGTACTGATGCTTTGTCACGCTACCTCGACATGTGATACCGACAACAAGGCATCATTTGGCATCTCTATGAGATGCACGTGGTTTTCAATATACTCCAGTGTCAACCCATCCGCAGCAGTGTTTGACACTGAAAGAAACTGACCTAGTGTAAAGAGCAAGAAACTCATTAAGTCTTAAACCCAGGTCTCATGTGAAAGCAAAAGTCGGTGTTGTTTTAATGTAATCTTGCGCAAGTTATGTAGGTGCGTCCCATGCGAAACCATAACTCAACCTTGTTTTAATGTAGTGTTACGTAACTTATGTACGTTTGTTTCTGCAAGATTTAAGATTTGAGAACAAGCAGTTACTGGATGTAACTCTAGTTCTACTTCATACACGCTACGTCCTCTAACGGGCTTCATTATTGGGTGCCAGTGAACTGATGGGGTAAACCAACCAAATCACAATGTTTATTTACAATAACTTGCAGGTAGAAAATCTCTGTGTCACATACATTGAAATCTAACAGAGCTGAGAAGACATTGCCTCAATAAGTTAGTTTTTAACCACTTCAATAAAAAGCCCACCAATAAAAAAAATCGAAACCAGTTTAAGTGTAAGCTATATGTAAAGTATTTTCAGCGCTCTACCTTGCCATCAGACAGTCTTTTACGACTGATAACTGAAGCCGTTATTAAAGCCACCAGCCTCCACTGTCAAAAACAGTCATTTTACGAACCAGACCATTGAGTTGCTGGTCTACCACAGCGTTGATTGGTTAGTGTGTGAGGTAAAGCGGAGCAAATACTAAAATACAGCGTACACTTGCACCGATACTGATTTTTTTTTTAGATAGCCAAAATACATTTTTGCTGAAGCCCCGTCCACAGCAGTGCCTTGTTTAGCTTCGGTGCTGATAGATTTGGTTTGTCAAAGATGGTAACAAAGCAACAGGGTACATAATATGAACAGCAGACATGACATACCACAGTGTCGAACTATATATCTTTACATGTTACAGCTGAAAATGACAACAGAAAGTTCTCTGATTTTGCACTACCCAACAATTGTAATCAATCGGCAGTCCTCTACTCAGAAGTAGAAGTGATTGTTGTTGTTAGAGTAATTTGGTCTATAGAATTATAAAAAAAAAGGTGCTGAAAAAACATACACATTGGTGTTGAGAAAAGGTGTTATTGTCAATATTATCAGTATTTTTTTAATGGCTTACTGCTTGTCTTTCTCACCCTGTCATACTTCCTGTTAAGCAATATCGCAGTGTTCCTAGATTTCGGTACCAAACTAGGTACCAGGCCTTATGGTGTTATCATAACTGAAGTCCGAGTCTACAAAACACAAGTGGTAATAAACCAGATTAATTCTTAAACCCCACCTGCTAGTGGAACAGAAAATGAGTTTGAGCAACTTAAACTTTACCTTTAAAGTCAAAGCTGATGTAAAAAGGTAAAAGAAACCACGCTGACAACGACACCACAGCTTAGGGAAATTAGTTGGTAGAACAATGATGGTCGTATTCAGACTGAAGTCTGGATGGTGACAGCTCACCTCCTCTTTCACCTCCTTCTTGACCTGCTTCAGGTTGGCCCTCAGGTCCATGTTGACCGTGTGCTTGGAGCCCAGCAGAGCCTTCAGCATGGCGTCAGCAGACATACGCACTTTCTTCAGACGGGGTCTCTTGAACTTTCCCCTCAGATCCACGATCTTTATGTTGAGGTCTCTGACCTTTGGGGGGATTCGGGACAGACATATGTAGTTTTATTACAAGTCAAATTATCATGTACTATCATGATCGTTATGAAGGTAATTTGAGTTCTTAAACAGTCAACAGTATTTGCCTGCTGAAACATAACGTAAACAAACATTAACAATTTCACTTCCTTGACGTAAGGTCATTGTTGCTTTATATTTATGAAAACACCTATTTATTTTGTACTTGTATGTACGTAAGATTTTTAACCTCCCTTTGTTCAGCTATGTGAACAGACCTGAAAAAGAGTCTCACCTCGTTCAGAACCATGTTCAGTTTGAACTCTATGCAGTATCTCTCCTCCTCACTGATGTCAATCTGCTCGTGGAGTTTCTTGCAAAG